AACCAAAAAGAACCAGTAGGAACCTGAAGGAAACAGTAGGAACCAAAAGGAACCTGGAGGAACCAAAAAGAACCAGTAGGAACCTGAAGGAAACAGTAGGAACCAAAAGGAACCTGGAGGAACCCACTCAAACTCCATGAGGAGGACCCCCACATGGACCTCTGTTCTCCACCACTGTTTCTGATCCTTAGATGTGAAGTTTACGAAACAAAGTTTTCCAATAATGGAAACTCCTTGAACTAAATTCCAGGACATTCCAGACCTTTAAGGCCATTTGTTCCTGACAGACCAGAGGGAGGGAGCAGGAACCTTCAGCTTATTCTGGTTCTGCCTCCATGTTGGATTCAAACTTCACGGTTCTCACCAGCTCCCTGATGCTCTCATCCTCGATCTTCATGAGGACCTGCTCGGCCTGGAAGTGTCCCTTCCGGTAGGCCAGCAGCTGGGACAGGTCGAAGAGCGGGACGCCCTCCGTGAAGAGCTCAGCGACCACGCAGCCTGAAACAAACACAAGCCTGCATCAGTGGCGCCGTTCTAGCAGCCATCTTCACGGTTCCTCCTGCTGGTCCGTACCTGCAGAGAAGATGTCCATGGCCGGCCTGAGCTCTCCACGGCTCCTCTGGTTGTTGTTGGTCAGGTCCACCAGCGGCGTGTTCTGGTCGCTCTCCGTGGTGAACATGCTTCCGTCCACAAACCTCTCGGGGGCGATGTAGCACGTCCTGCGCCTGGACGTGTCGAAGAAGTAGTTGAAGTCGGCGGGGTTGTCCTCCGGCAGGTAGGTGGGCTTGAAGCTGGCGAAGTCTGTGAGCAGCACCCAGTTCCAGCTGCTCACCATCACGTTCTCCGTCTTGATGTCTCCGTGGCGGACGCCGGCCTTGTGCGCCTGGTCCACGGCGTTGAGGATCTGGAAGGCGATCCAGCGCTTCTCCACGTTGTTGAGGAACGGCCGCGTGCTGATGCGGTCGTACAGGTTGTCCCGGACGTACTGGCGGAACAGGATGGCGGCCTTCTCCGTCAGGGACGTCTTCTGGAAAGGAAGGCAGTTCTGGCAGGAGTGCAGCCGGATCTTCAGCTCCTCCAGCTCCTGCTTGTAGCTGGTGAGCGGCAGCGACGGGTCCTGGATGGCGAAGACCTTGACCACCACCAGGCCCTCGCGGTGTTTGGCCCGCGCCACCTTGAAGAAGCGAGTGCTGCCTAGACTTTTGTCGTACTCGTGGTCGTGGATATCTGAGAAGTAGCTGTCCACGGAGAGGATCTGAGACGGGGCGATGCCCGCCAGCTGGTTCCCCATCGCTCTGGTCCCGTCTGTGGAAACAGGATCAGAACATTCAGTAACGGCAAACAGTGAG